TTGTTCTCGCCCTGTGGTGGATTCCCAGCTTGAGAAGGATGTATATTTTTTATCTCTCTATTATTTCTCTCAGTACTAATATATAAAGTTTATTATATTCAGTTTAGTATAGCTATTTATCAGAATATCTATATCTCTATTTATAAACTCTATATATCTCTATATATATTTTATAGATCTGTAAGTTTTTAATATATTATTTAAAATCTGATTAACTGAGTAAAAATAAAAATTCTTCTATCTACTCTATTATATATAATACAGATTAATAAAAATTATTTAATATTATTTAATTAGACTCTTTTCTATTATTTATATAATCTCTTCTTTTTCAGTATTTATATACTTTCTTTTAAAATAACTTTCTCTGAATGAATAATTGAGAATTTTTTTATTAAAAAATCAGATTATCTTCTACTCAGAGATAATCTGATTATCTGAAAACTTTTTTTTATTATATTATTTCTATTATATAAATAATAAAAATTGAGCAGTAGTAAGAAATTAGTCTATTAAATTTCATCTCTCTTTATATACAGAAATAAAGAAAAAATAGAAATAAAATAAATCTATATATTATTATTTATTTATTCTACTTTTCTGTATATACTATCTATATATTTTTTAATCTATTTTATCTACTGATTTTCAGTATATTCTCTTTCTATATTATTATCTCTATAATAAAATTATACTATAGCTGTTTTTATACAGCAGCTGCTTTAATAACAGTATCAGCAGCAGAGATTATTATCAGTCTTTTTTATTTATACAGAGATATAAAAGTTTCAAAGTAGATAAATAAAAATAAAAATAATTAAAAATAGAAATCAATATAAGAGCAGAAAAAAAAGAATACAGTAGTGAAGTAATAATTATTAAATATATATTCAGAGAGAGACTGATACAGTCATTGTATATAATATTACAGAAAAGTTATCTCTTTTATATGATCAAAGAAGATAGTTTATTATACAGAATATGTATAGATTATTTAAGGGCCTTGGCTGAACACCATAGAAACACATGTTTGAATACAGACAAATCCACCTTCATATAACCACTAGTTATAAGTAATGCAGTTTCTTTGCTATTATTTTCTTATTTGTATTATTTTATAATTTGAATATTCTTTTTTCTCTATCTTTTTTATCTGCTTTTTCTCTGGTTTTCTTTATGTTTTTTTTCTGTTATAAAAAGTACAGACAGCTTCTCAATAAACTGAGAGAATATTGTGGTGATTCTTTCAAAGAATCATACTATAGCTTTATTATAAATGATTATATATTGAGTCAGAAGTAGATGGGCAGCTCAATAAGCTGAGTTTTCTCAAGAGTTGTCATCTGAATTCTGTTTCTCTCTATCTATGTATATAGAAATCCCTCCAGCATAGCACATCCCATGCTCTTTGGAAGGCTTCTGAAACACAGGCTCTGCCCATGTTTCTCTGAGACACTAAATCGATACATACATACATACATACAGACTGTGGCTCTATAGCATAACCTAGGACTGGGCGGTACTGCTGTTGGTTCTGTGTATAAACGTGCGGACGAGTTGGCGAATGGTCCGTTGACGAATAGCGAGATCGTCGGATTTTCAGGGGTGAGTTCTAACCCTGCAACAGAAGTCAGGCAGGTCACCATTGAACATATTTTAAGCAAGAAGCATAATAACCAATGGGCTCTTGTGGGTGGCCGTGGTGGAGACTTGGAATCCCCTTTTCTTGCTAGAATTTGAAAAGATATACCTTTTTTTTGTCTACTGATAGTATACATGTTTTTTTCTGCACATCCTACTCTTTAGATCTGATTTGTCCCCTTACTCCTTAGCACACCATTTGCTTTGGTATAAACTATATATAGGACTTTGGATTTCGTTTCATAATGATTTCTCTATAGGAAGAGTAACAAATATCTTTCCCAGCTCCAGAGTCCAGTATTCGAGAACTTTCCAGGCCTCAAAACCACCCTTTCATTTTGAAGAAACAAAAACAAAATGATGTAAACCGAAAGCTAATAAGGAAATTAGCATTTGTCTTTGTATTTTCAATTGTGAAAACATGTTCTCAGAGGATGTATAAAAGGATTATCTTGCATTGAATTGAACTATCTGGTTAGGAGAAGGTCCCCGCGGAACAAAGTTTCAAGCTTCAAATGTGGACGTTGGTGTAAGTTTTAGAATATGATTGATATAAGATAGAGATCAAATAACTAGAAATTAGGTTAAATGGGCATGGGTGTCACAAAAATACAACATTTCCGAAACATGATATCGAGAAGAGGTAGTCAAACCTAGTCTATAATCCTAGAAGGATTTGGTTGGAACAATAAGAGGGGGAAACAAAAGTAGAATATGAAATGATATTCATCACATGCAAGGATATATAAGTTGGCCATGGAACATTAGAAATTGACGCG